AGACTATAACAATCTCAAAGTCAGGATTAGAAAGTATAAATGACTGACTATGATCAAGAAATTTTTACATATGGTGAATTGAATGATCGTTTTTGCTCGCTTTATTTTATACATTCCATCTCGAATAGTAATTATATACATTTATAAAAGTCTCATAATTTATTAGATGGAATGGGTTGATAATAGAGAGTAGGATATAGTTAATTATATATGTTTATAAAAATCTCGTAATTCATCAGGTGTAAATTTTTAATTAGAAGAAATAAATTTAGAAATGGATTAGAAATCTTCACCCTTAAACTTTAACTTACATTAGATGAATAATGTAACTTAAATTAAAGGTATGATACCTGTGCTGCTATAGTAATATAGAAATTTGATATATGCTTATTTTATATAATCTATAATTTTCATTTCATTTTTTTCAAAAAATATAATGGGAGAAAAAGGAGAGACAAGTGAGAGAGAGAGAGAGAGAGAGATATTTGTAAAGAAAAATGAATGAAATAGAAAGCATTTTAAGAGATGTACTAATTAATTAATTGGAAGGAAATAAATTAGTGAATGAATTTTTCTTTTTTACTTTTACTAAAAATGAAAAATGAATTAACGATAATTGCATAAATGAATGCATTATGCAAATTTCTTTTTTCTTTTCCTTTTTTGTTAATTTGTTAAAATTTGATATTTTAAACAACAAATTAGTATGTAGAAAATTTTATAAATATTAATTAATAAATTAAGATCTTTTGTTTTATAAGTTTGTTTTCATTTTTTTTAAGTTTGTATTGGATTGGATCAATTTGGCAATTACAAATCATTATGAAAAATTTCTTGAAACTTTAATGCCAAATCCGCCGCAATATGCTCAGGTGAGAGTTTGTAATTAACCGATCACGGAAAGATTTAAACGATTGATCTTTTTTTTTAAGCCAAAATATTAAACTTTTAAAAATGAATTTGTTGCGTTGAAAATATTTATAAAGAAAATGTTCAGATCGTTTCGATATATCAAAAGGTATAGTTAGGATACAGTGATTCGGATAATTTAAATTATTTCGAAAAAATTTTCTTTTCAGGTTGGTGGCGTGTGGGAAAAGCTTTCAACAAAAAAAGAACAAATTCACGATGGACTTAATAAGCTATTTGCAATAATGCCTTATGATATTATTACGTTGAATACGTGGAATCGATTAATACCACAATGGATGCAAAGTATTTGTGATTTGATGGAAGATGATGATTTCTCTGAGTTCAAAATATTACTTAGGTATTACATTTACTTAAATAAAAACTATACATATTCTTTCTAATTCTTAATTAATGAATTGATTTAATTAATGATTGCTTTTTCTATGCATTTATCTTTTTTGTCACTTATCATTTCTGTTTTTTAAAATTAATTTACGATTACTATATATGTTTTTTTTTAATGTTCTTTTTTGTAGTAAAATATTTGAATCTGACCTTCGTCCTTTACCATTCAATAATGAGCAATTGTATCAATTCATCACTGATCACTTAACAACAGGCGATAAAAGAAGTATTTCAAATGCGCTCGATTGGATTCATGTCAGAATTTTGATTTTATTATTGTGGAAATTTTTGGAAATTTAATTTTTCAGTATCAATTTAATTTTATACTTAACTTTTGGAAAATTCAAATTTTTTGCAGTTTGAAATTTTTAGAATTAATAAATTCATAGGCTTAAAACGAAGGCTTAAAAAAGCTTTCATAAAAAGGTGAAAAAATTTTGCTAAAAAATTTTCAAATGAATTTTTATAAATTATAATCAAAGATTTGATTCATTGTAGGTTTTATTGTCGATGGAAATTTCAATACCACTTTCAATCTTACTTGATGCATTTTCCAAATGTGTCACACGAATGTCACAAATGGAATTAAATGAAAATACTGAGAATGATTTCGAGGAGGAATATGCATCGTTACATGTTTCCATGATCGATATCATTTCCAAGCAGGTATTTTTAATTCGAATTTTTAATTCGAAATGATTCTAATCAATCAAACTATTCATTAATATAATTTGAAAATAATTTAAATATTTGATAAATGTTTGAATTATTTTTCACAATAATATTTGATTATAATATTAAGTAAAAGATTAAGTAATTATAATATTAAGTAAAAGATTATTTGATCGTGCATTTTTTTCATTTCAAATTATTCAATACTAAATTTCAGTGCATTTTTTCTATCTTCTCTTTTTATTCGAATTATTTTACTATTAGAATTAATTAAATGAAATGATTAATTTAAATCATTCAATTTTATCTTATAAATATATTTCTCATTAACAATGATTATTGCAGATATCTTTAAGTGATCAATCACAAAATGAAGTAAATATGATGGCTGATTTAATCTTTTCTACATGTGCCATAATATTGGAAAAGCCATTTGCACATTGTAAGCATAGCTGTGATAATCCGGAATTTGATGAATTTCTGGATTGTTCCGCTTGTCAACAATCTGTTTTTGTTTATCAGACTGTTGCTCAACTTATGGAACGATTATCACCCAAAAAACAACTTCATATAATAGTTCATGCTGATGAGGTACATCAATGGATCCTGTTTTGATATACTACCTTGAAGGCATTTATTTTATTGCTGATAATTTCATTATCATTTTTAGCCAACAACTAATTGGAAAACGCAAATTTCTAATGTTCCACCAGAAAAATCATCGTTTGATAAATGTTCCACTCCATCAGTGATAGCACCAGTATCAGATACATTATCATCATCATCATCATCACTTATCCAAAAGTTAACAACAACAAATGATAGTAAACTTCAATTTCAAACAGCTACTATTCATGAAACAAACACCGAATTTGTTGGCTTATTGCCTGATGAAGAGGTTTATTTGAAGTAGCTAATTTGTAGATTTTATTTGTTGCCACCCATAACATACTTATGTGATCTGTTTGTTGGTTTTTTTAAAGTTGATTTATTATTGCTACAATTTATTAAGATACAATAATATAAATATTTTAATTAATCATAAAATAATCATTATTTTATTTTTATCAGGTTGAAACAGCTGTCGAATATGCAACATTAACGGAAGCAGGTGTGGAATGTGGAACACATCATATTATAACATCATCGTTGGTGGAAAATGTTAAAATTTTATCAGTGGAAGAAGATACAGTGGTAAAAGAAGGAACAAAATTTTGGAATACTTCAGTTGGACGTTTCCGTTTCGCACTTTCCGATTTACCACCTCAACTTTGCCTTATCCATTCCATTTTAACGGTTAGAATTGATGCTAAAGTTTCCTTATCAAGTACAAAAATATTTTTCAAAAATAATAATTGATAGTATATGTAAAGAGAGAGAGAGATGAGCTTGCATAACTGTAACCATCACAGATAACATTAAGTGATAATACGAATGATAGATGATAGTAAATGAAAACAATTAGTGATAATATGTGATAGTATCATTTATATTGAAATATAATAGTGTTACGATGAAGCATATAATAGTATTTGTCTACCAATAATAGAATATTATTTATAGAATCTGGAAATGGAGCGCGAAGCAGATGCTCATTATTTCATGCTTACAATAGTGAAACTTTTATGCCTTCATTGTGAATCGTTGTTGAATGCTCGTCGTGAACATCGAGGATACTTAATTTGGGCACAAGAAAATTTGCTTATACCGAAACTATGGACTTTACTTCGTTCAGATCGTTCACAGGTATGACAAATTTAATTTTCTACAAACTTACTTAACTTTTTTACGCATTTGTTTTATTTCAATTAATCCTATGAAAGAAAGAATTAATTCATTTTGATATTTTTATATTAATGAAATAGAAAATGAAAAAACAATTGGATTAATTATTTCATATATAAAATTAAATTTTTGAATTCTTTTTTTTTCAATTTTTCATGTTAATTTTTAATGTAATAATAATAATGAATGATAGAATTTCAGTTAGCAGAATTAGTAATTCCATTAATTATGCATTGTTTAACATTACCAAGTGGTGAGGAAATGTTCTGGAAAGTGGTTAATTCACAATTTATTGATCAACGATGGGAAGAACGATTTTCAGCTGGTTAATTAGTTAAATTAATTAGCAAATAAATTTTCACCCTTAATTTTCTCCTTATAAATCTTAAAAAGCTTACTGTAAAATTTTTCATCCTTCTATTTCACTTAAGAAAAAGAAAAAAGAAGCCTTATAAATCTTAAAAAGCTTAATTAATAAATTATTAATTATTTTCATTAAATCTTTAGTTTTCTTTTTTAAATTCTAAATTTAAATTCCTTTTTAAATTGTTTTAAATAGCTTTATAAGTTTTCTTCCCTTCTTCAATTAGGAACGATTAACTATATTTTAATAAATATTTGAAATGATAAATATTGTAGTGGAACGAACAAGTGTACTTCTTCAATTGGCGAATGCTTCAACGATTAGCTCAAATAAAATAATTCAAACAAGTCTAAGTTGTTGTATCACACATTTGATTGCATCAGTTGATGATCCGAATGTTGCTGTTGCTCAACATGCATTACTATTTATTCAACATATGCCATCAGCTTCTTTAAAGGTTGCTAAAATTATAATTAATTTATTATTTATTTAACTAATTAGTTAATGCAAATTAATTGAGCATTTCATGTTCTAAATATAAAATTAACTAATTATAATTATTATCTGAGGAAAAAAAAGAAGAAATTTAACAAATATTTTAATTATTTTTTAATATTATTTAAAATGTTTTAACAAATAAAAATTTAATAAATATTTTAAACAAATATTTCTTTCAATCTCTCTCATTCAAATTATACCACCCATTACAATAATTAATAAATGATAATTATTGTCTTCCTTTTTTAAACCTTTGTTTTAATAAGTAAATGTTTTCTTTATTATTATTAATTATTTTACAATCTAATCCAAAATTAAACTTAGTTTTTGCATACTTTCTAATTTATTTGTTTTTTTCTGTTAAATAAATGTTGAAAATTTTTTCGCTATACTTCCTTGATAATAATATTGAATTTTGAAATTAAAAAAATTATGATAATTTTGAATTTTGGAATTTAAATTATATTAATTTATTGAGTTTACTTACTGCAGTTGATGTGTCTTTGTTTGGAATCACAATTTGATAGTTCAATTTTGGATCGAGCATTAATTATCACTCGAATTCAACAACTGATATCAATTCTACCGGATGAAGAAATTCTTACATGGGAATTTTTCATTCAACGATTTGAAGGACTTGCTATCGAATGTCAACTTCTTATGAAGAATAGCGAATCAAACTTTATCCACGGTTCATTTCTTTCTTCTTATGAATTAAATTGTGTTCGTTTATTTATTTCATTATCTTATCTTTTTTCTTCATTTCTATTCATTTGAAGGATTTTATTGGATTTGAAGTTATTTTAAAATTTGTTCTATCTATCATTCAATAATGTATACTACATAAGATAGTTCAATGATACATACATAAGGTAATTCATAATTTATATAAGGTAATTCAAAGGTAATCCAAGATACTTCAAATGAATGAGGTAATTCAAATAAGAGAAGTCACACATTACAAACTACATAAGATAATTAATGATAGTTCATTGATACATACATAAGCTGATTCATTGATACATATGGTAATTCAAAGGTAGTTCAAAATACTTCAAATGAATAAGGTAATTCAAATGAGAGAAGTCATACATTCAATTTAATTCATAACTTAATTTATTACTATAAAATTTTCATTTTATTTTTCATACATCTATTAAATTAAATAGCTTAAATGATTTGGAAAATAATTTTAGTTGTTGAATTGTTTATTTCATTTTTTTTCACTCTAAAAATCTGTTGAAGATATTTCAAATTGAAATAACTGAATTTGAAAAGTAAAAGAATAATTTAAGTAGAAAATTAGAAAGATGTAAATTAAATTGTAATTTAGATTTAACTCATTCGGATCCATTAAGTGAATTATATCAGCAAAAGATAACTCGTGCACGTGAAATTATCGAGAATAGTTCTAATACTCGATCAATTGTTCGAACTTTACAAAATAATTCAATGTGTCATCAACTTAGTGCAGCAACATTTCGGCCATCATGTATGTTTACCTAAAACTTTGCATAAAATAAACAATTAATTAATTAATTAATTGTTGTCGTGATGAAAATTTTTTATTCATTCTTTTGTTTTATAATACTTTCTTTCATCTTTCACGTAGTATAAATCTTGCGTGAAATACGAATGAAATTGTAAATGAAGTAAAAATTTAGTAAAACAAATATAATATCGTTAGAAAATTTAGCTTAAACGGTACCCATAATAGAATTATAACAAATAGGTATAATTGTTGATTTCTGAAAAACGGATATAATGTTTTCAAACGGATATAATGTAAGGAATATTCTATTGTTCATCCGGAAAAATCATGTTTATCCGGAAAAGCTCATTGATATTATTCTCAGATATTTATCTGGAAATAATATTAATGAATTTTTGTTTGAAAAAAATCGAACTTCAAAAAGTTTTGCATTGTGAATACATTCCTTTTCAATGTATCGGATCATTCTCAGTACGAATTAAGAATTTATATTCAGACTACAGTTTACAAAAATCATCCTATGATATAGTATATTTATCATATATTGATAAGAAGCTAAAAACCATTTAATATAATATATTTTAATCCTTCTAATCAATTATAATAACATTTTTCTTAATGCTAATTAATTTGATTATATTTCATTAGCATCTTCCAAAATAAATTTAATTTGCATCAAGCAAACTTTTCTATTTTCACATAAATATTAGGATAGGATGCAAATTCATCATAGTTATGATGAATTCAATTCTTAATTCAATTATATGTTAACAGGATTAAAATTTAAGGTAAATTAAGTGATAGCTAATTAGTAACTAATTAACTAAAGGGAAAATTGTTGCTGAATTGAAATGTGATGAAGTGAAAAAAAGACGCACAAGTGCGTTAATCAGTGGTAAAAAGAAGATCCATCATTTGGTTACTATCATTAAAGTTATCTCTGCTTGGAAATTCTCCAAGCATCATCTACAATCATTTACAAATGCCGTTTCAACTTCGGCTCGATCTACGAATAGTATGTCCTCATCAATAACATCACCATATCATCATATCACTATCACTATCATATCCTTCAATCCACCTTATCCAATGAATAATGCACCACCACCATCCAAAATTCTTCCATTTGCACTAATTTTTTCCCCAATTTCAACCGATCATTAAAATATGATGTAATGAAATCTGATAGAGAAAAACGACGAAATTGAAATTTAATTTTTGAAATATTATTTACATCAAATTTTATCTTACCTATTTGATTCATTCTATTCGAAATATTCCTATTGTTGTATGTGTTTGTATGATTTCATAGGTATAAAATAATTTGCTTACCTGAGGAAGAAAAGAAAATCATCAAAATTCATTTCATATGAATCAAGAAAAAATTTTTTTAATTAAAGAATTAAAATATTATTAAATTAAAATTTCCTTCATATCATTATTATCATTGATAATTTTTTTTTAGACAGTTTTAAAATACAAATTTCATCATAAATACCTCACTTTTACCCCTATCATTTTAGCAATTCATTATTAAACTTATTAGCGAATTCAAACTTATCAGTGATTTCAAACTTATCATTTGTAATTTGTCATTGATAATTTTTTTAGACAGTTTTAAAATACAAATTTCATTATAAATACCTCACTTTTACCCCTATCATTTCAACAATTCATTATTAAACTTATCAGTGAATTCAAACTTATCAGTGATTTCAAACTTATCATTTGTAATTTGTTCAATACCAAATGAATGCACACTTTCATTTAGCATATTATCCTAAATTATTTTAAAATAATTATCTTGTGATTATCCCTTTTGTATAAAAATTTTCCTTCTTCGTATTAAACTTTTTTGATAACAATTCTTATTTATTTCAACTTTTTTCTATTGCTTGTTTTTTCAGCGGAAGAGATGAAAGAATCTATGCATTGTTCATCGCATAGCAGCGGTATGTTTTATCATGCAAAATATTTCCTTCCCTTATTTTTTCAAATATTTCAACTTTGTTGAATTTAAATTATTTTCAATTATTTTTCACAATTGTATATCACATTTATTGATTTTTTATATCTCACATTTATTGATTTTTCACATAGCATTTATTGATTTTTCATATCGCCTTTATTGATTTTTTATATTGCATTTATTGATTTTTTATGTCGCATTTATTGATTTTTTTCCAAATATTTTCCAATCTTTTTTTAAATACTATTATCAAGATAAATACTTAACGTTGCGAAATTATAAGTAAGGGAAGTACAATGGAATGGATTTTTAATTATCATTAGCTGATTGATAATATGTTGAAGAAAAGCAATGATTTAAAATTAAAATGTGAAACTGTCATCAATTTCACTAATATTAAAATTCAATATTTTTATTTTACGATAGATATGATTGAGTTTCAGGAACTTTTTCACGTCAACGAGAATTTACGAATGAAGAGAATCATATGTGTTTATTAATGAATCGAGTGGTTGATATTGATAATCCGGAACGATATATCGTCTACTTGACAGTTTCATTATTTATATCATTCCTTTGTAAAACGAAGAAAAGTGGTGATGAAAAAGCAATAGCTAAGAAGCAAAGTTTACTTTTTCGACATTTTAATGCTCTCATTGGTTACAGTAACTCGGAGAAATGTTTTACCATATCACCAAAGATATTACGGTTTGTTCAAATTTAATTTTAACTTAATTTTTTATCTATTATAGAAAAAGTTTAGAATCTTTTATTGCTATACAATTGAATGCAAATAAATTAGAATAAATTCATTAATGAATTCATTAATTTCCAAATAATTCATTGATGATTTCATCAATTTGCAAGTGGTTAATTAATTCATTAATTAATTTATTCTAATTTATAATTTATTAATTATTTACAAATTATATTTGCTTAAATGTTATAAATAAATAAAGGAAAAATACCTTTATATTTAAGTTAAAAACTGATGGATATTTTCAGGAAATCAACAGCATGTAATAGCTTTTTAAGTGGTTTACCGGAAATTTTGGATTCTAATTTAGTAGTAGCAAATCAGGTAAGAATTACTAATTAATTTAAAATAATATGAAATTTAAAATAAAATGATTTAAAATAATACGTGATAATATGAAGATATAAAAGCATTAAATTAATTTAAAACAATTAAAAAAATATTTTGTTGTTAATATGAAATATTTTTGCGTTAGTTTAAATCAGTGATATAATATTTAAAAAGAAGAATATTTCTTTATCATTTCACTTTCATTCAATTAATATGAGATCTCCCGATCATTACTTTTCAGTTTAAGTAGAGATCCAATTTACAGGCTATATTGGCAGGATCCAATTTACAGCCTATTCGAAACGAGAATTGGCTAAAATTAATTTTGGAATTAATAAATAAATTTTTGTAGAAAATTAATTTAAAAAAGATAATTGAAGAATATGTTGCAGATTGTGATGCTTGGTGTACAACTTTTGCTTTATTTACCATCGCCTCAAAAATTGGCCAACGATCAATCATCGGCGGAATATTCACTTATATTATTAGACAATAACGCTCGACATTTTTGGCTAAATGCAGTTATTCTTATACTTTATAATAGCAGAGAATAAACTGAACAGTGATAATATAAGAGGCTCACGCACAATCCCAACAAATCAACTACTAGAGCTAACGATATTTCAATTACCATTGTTATCATCATGATAATCATCATATCGCTCAAT